AATATTTGTATGAATATATCTGATTCAAGTTTGGCCAAAAATGTTTTTTTAATTAAATATATTAAAAACACTAAAATAACAAAGATGAACTACAGAAAAACTGTTCAAAACCAAACTCTTCCTTACAAATCCCTTTGGTCCACATGGTTCAGGTTAAAGTTTTTGTATAATGCTTCATTAGAGAATACTAAACTGTACTTTGACTAAGAACATAGACACAGTGTATAGTGTTATGACTGTACTATACTGTGTACTTGTGTGTAGAAGTGGTAAGAGTTGTTGTACATTTATCATTATCGAGGTGAATTGGTCAATATATTGTGATACTGATTTGAGGCCATGTGGCCTAGCTCTACCTGTAGGATGAAGCCATCAGTTTGTCTGATGTGAGCTCACAGTCTGGCTGTGAATCCCTCAGAGTTCATTGGGCTGCTTCTGTCCTGTGTCACATCATCAATAAACACAGTGAGCCAGTGCCACTGCTCTGCTGGCTTTTACACATGATGTGGTGCTTTGGATCAGGACCTGGACCAGGTCCATCATTCTGCTACAGCTTCATCTGGTTTCATCTGTCCAAAGRATGTTCTTCCAGAACTCTGCTGCTTTTTTACAGGTTTTTATCAAAGTCCAGTCTAGTCAGACCACCTCATTTATTCCCAGCAGAGTCTTGAGTCTCCTGTCAGGTGTGGGTCTAGTGTCTCACATGTTTTGTCAGGTGACAGAACACACAGACTGTGTGATAAATTACACAAATATAATTGGTTGAATTTTAATAGTTTTAGTGAAAGCTGCAGCCCCCCCCCACCCCCCCGTGCTCTCATCTCTGTCTCCTGGCCGTGCGTCATGATGCACCACAGATGGAGGCTTTCTCTACAGACACGTGCACAAACACACAAGTTTGGACTGTTAGCTTTGGAAACAAATTAATTATAAATAAATAAATGATTAAGTAATTAATAAAAAGGAACCAAAGCCATGTTGTTGCGTGCATGTGTTGTAACATGTCTAATCTTTCTTGTCAGATGGTGTTGGGTCATATTGAGGAGCATCGCCGCAGCCACCAACCAATCAACATCCCCTTCTTTGATGTGTTCCTCAGAAATCTGTGCCAAGGTCAGTCTGGATGTGGGCTCTGTCTCATTTACAGGAGGGAATGTGGAACTGGTCTGACTGGTCTGTGTTCAGGATCCAGTGTGGAGCTGAAGGAGGACAAATGCTGGGAGAAGGTGGAGGTGTCTTCCAACCACCATCGAGCGAACAAACTGACAGACAAGAACCCAAAGACCTACTGGGAATCCAACGGCTGCACTGGCTCCCACTTCATCAACATCTACATGCATAAAGGTGTGGTCATCAGGTAAGTGGGGATTATGTTCCTGTGGTCATTTGGTGGGGAGGGCTTATCTATGGCTAATGTCATTGAGTGGGCGGGGCCTCATTTATCTGTCCTCAGCGGGTGGGCGGTGTCTGTTCATATGGTCATGAGGTAGGCAGGGACTCCTCTTCTTGTCTTCTTCAATCATCTTGCCATCCTTCATTGAAGGCAACCTATGACCTGTTACTGGTTTCCAGTGTGGGCACAACTCCTGCACTGGTTTTTACCCATCCAAATACTAACCAGGCCTGACCCTGCTTACTTTCTGAGACCAGGTGAGATCCGGTGTACTCAGGCCATCCCAGGGATTAAATAGTGGTCAGTTGTGTGTCATGGATCACCTGTACATCACAAATCATTTCTCTCATTTCAACACAAAGATGTAACGTTATGAATATAAGTAGTGCTGCCTGAAGGAGAGGAACAGTGTAGACGACATGAAGTATGGGACACCACACCCTGTGTGTCCTGGCTGAAGACTCCTCTGGTTGTACCTTTAGGTAAATGATGACATCATGTGACAGGCCCCACCTGCACTCTGTAGTCGTTCACACAGAACTGTACTTCTTCCCAGCACACCACTCGTTGGGACAAGTTTTAAATAAAACATGTCCTGAAGAATCTGGTGACTTGAACCATGTTTCTGCTGCGGTTGCAGCTCAGTCGGGTTCATGAGAGCAGCTACAAGTTGCCAAGCAACGGCTCGACAACAAAGGCTCTCATTGGATGAGACACACAACGAAGACCATCTAAACCAGGGGTGTCCAAACTGTTTTTAGTCAGGGCCAAACACAGAGGAATAAACAAAGGGCCGGGCCACACACTACAAGTGACATGTTGATACAACAATAATGTGTGTGTTTCTAACTCACCTGTTGGGTGTAAGGTCACTGTGGTCAGTCTTCACATGGGGGGGGTAAAGTTGTATGGAGGGGGTTTTAAGGTCCAGTGAGGGGTTGGTTAACTGTCCTTCACACCATTTTCTGTAAAATAATTTGACTGTAATAATGAGATACATTCATACTTCAATGATGTGTGTTTCTAACTCAGCTCTGACTCTGACAGAGTTCAGGGAGTGAGAGACGCTGATGTTGACTCTTCAGAGCATCATCACATTACATTTCAGTCAGTTCTAACTGCACACACTCTTCACTTTGTCTGCATCCACCAGGAAGTGGTTGAAAACAGCTTCATTTGTTCTTCAGTTCCAGAAACATCTTGGAAACGCTGGTTGAGTTCTGTCACCAGAGGTTTAATCACAGACACACACATTTCTCCTTTTAGCAGAAAGATCAGTGTTTCAGACAGAGCAGGAAAGTGTGCAGCGTTAAAGCCTCATACTTGTGTCTCAAACAGGCGCAGCTTTACAGATGTGGCACCAGCTGTTCTTTGCCTTGTAGGTTCTTGTTCAGTGTGTTCAGATGATGTGTAAGGTCAACTAAAACTGCAGGTCTGCCAGCCACAGAGGGTCACTTAGTTCACGAAGAGGTCGGCCCTGGTCTTTAAAAACTGTTGTTGAGCCTTTAAGGCTCATCTTACGAAGCAGCTCCTCTGTACAGCTAAACTGATCATCTACTCCTCTGTCTGTGGCCTCCGTGCTCTCATCACATGCTGTCAGGTAAAAATCAAACACAACACCACTTCTGGAGACAAACTGAACGCAGTGTCGTGGTCACAAACAGCTTCTTCTTCTCTTCTCTATAATTCAGTTTGTGTGGCTGGCTCCATCCAGTGTTGAAACTGAGACATGCAGCAGAGTGGAGCTCAAACTTCTTGTGCAGGCCATATTCAGTTAGATTTTCAGAATTTGCTGCGGGCCAATAAAAACGGTACAGCCCGCGGGCCGTAGTTTGGACACCCCTGATCTAAACCAATAGCAGGGTTCCCACAGATCCTTAAAGTCTTAAAAGACATTGAATTTTTCAGTGCAAAAATATGACCTTAATTAGCCTTAAAATGTCATAAATCAGTCTTTCAGAGGCTTTAAAAATGTGAACACATTTAAAGTAGGATGATTGTAAATTGTCTCAAATATTAAAATAACTGATAACTTTATTACAGAACTTTTATCGTAGCTAGTTCTGTGTTAAAATAAACATCTGGATAAAACTGTCACCAACTGCTTTCCCCGCATTTTTATTTATTGTAAACTGGCTCTTAAATTTAATTCAACATGGCATTAAGTGTCTTAAAAGGTGTGTGTGTGTGTGTGTGTCTGTGTGTGTGTGTGTGTGTGTGTGTGTGTGTGTGTGTGTGTGTGTGTGTG